ACGTAGCAGTGTTAAATCAAGGAACTCAATTCATTGACTGACGCGATTTTCGAATACTGATTTACGTACATCCGAAAAAGAACTTTACGCTCACTGCTTTAATTGGCGGATGGGGTAACTTATATATGCGGGAATATTTTCTCGTTTTGATTTCAAACAGTTTGAACTGAAATATGCACTCACAGGAAGTAGCCGCGCATTACGGTTTCTCCCGGCGCTAACGAATATTTCAGTAACCTTCGTGAAGAGAATCGTGTTAAAAGATGCGACAGAATCCCAGTACTAAGGTTTGGTTTATCATTTACTATTTGGCTATCTCGGCTAGTACCGCCTCTGCGTCTAACACTGAGAAAGCCATCAAATCACTTGAAACAACGCTGGAGAGAAAATTCAATCAACTGATTGCTGTAGTGAACGCCACAGCTCATGAAACATCAAACATTGGGCCCGGTACGTTTTATTAATCCTTGATTGCGACCCAAAGGTATCTCGCCTGTAAGTCAATACAGATGCCACGCGATACTCGACCAAGAATACCCTCGGATTTCATGCTACTAAAAAATGGAGTGTACTAAAATGACTTAAAATGAGATGCTGGAGAGGCATGTTTAGAGAGGTGTTTGTGTATATAATGCGTATGTGCGAGTCTCCACTTTAGGGATACTATTATGTATTAATTTAAGGCTATCAATGGCAAGTTTGCGTTCGGTGAACCGAAACCTAGTTCAATTAATGATAAAACCTCGCAAAGGTAAATCGCTTTCGACATTTAATATAGAGGACAGTTGTTTTTGCGTTGCGTCACTCAATATTCCTTTTTTCAACTCAGATATGACAATAACTGAAAGTGCGTTATTGCATGATCCGCATTTGAAAACTAAGCTTCTTATTCATATTTGCGAAATATAAATTAACAAATCAACAATAAAAATCTGCAATAATTCAATCAATTAATTCTGTGATTTCATTAAGTTATGGCGCTTATGGTAATACAGTCACTTTTATTACGACTAAAACATTTGATCAAATGATGTTTTTTCAACTCCGTTAGGCACGTCTGGCTTTCGAACCTGCAAGGAAATTTACAACAATCATAAGTAAGTTCAAATTTGTCTGTGAGGGCAATTTCTAAAGGACAAGAAATTGAAGTGTAGAGTTCGTTAGTCGACCACTTTAACTGAGCCCCACGTTTTTTGCATGTGATGACATTATTCAATAGTCTTTTACTTTTTATTTGTCTAAGCTAGAAGGGAGCTTAAAATCAGTTAGGGTTGACGTGTCAACTGTAGAGACTGCGAACTAGTATATCGAGCCCCCACCGTCACTAACCGAAAACGGCCACAAACCTATAGTTTAATGATTGTTTTAATCCATGGTCTTCCGTCGCTTTTTGTTGTTTCACTCATGAATGGCCTCCAATAAAACCGGAAGAGGTAAACAAATTTCATCAGTTTGATTTTTTTTTTCACAGAGCTCGCGGAAATAGAGCTTATCTACTGCGAATGCAGTCTGGGAAGGTGTTGGTGTACTGTCACATGACAAGCATTGGACTTGGCGCATGTGGAGGAGGGGGATGGACGCTGGTGATGAAAACTGATGGCCATAAGGTATTGTTACAATCTGTTGGCTCAGAATTAAGGCAAAAGCATGAACATATAGTCCGCCATAGTTAATGCTGTAATTGGCCAGGATCAGTTATTAAAAAGATAGTTTTGGGAATCTGCTAAGAAACTGCCTGACTTTTCGTAATAATTTTTTGCAATTTAATATATAGAGAATTACCCGTTCACACATTTCTTTTAATTATTTATTTATTTCCATCACAGCCTACCTTTCACTTCAGTTCCAAACTTTGGAGCAACAAGGTCAATTTCAACCTTCCAGGAGGGAAGACTGGCATCGACGCACATGAGACTAAGCTTCCAACCTACTGGAACACACCCTTCTCAAAGATCTGCCTGGGAATGAAAATCGGACACCAGAAAAAGTTTGTTGTGCTCTTCAAGCAAGCCAGTTCCCTCCACTCACTGATTTCTGATGGTCTTTACCGCCCTACCTCACTGGGTCGCAACAAGTGGAAGTCGCTGATTGGTTCTGTAGCTTCCCTACAGCCTAACTGTAACCAGGAAGGATTCAACACCAAATGGAGCTACAGCAATCCCGCATACGCCCTCAGAGCAGCGAGAATTGGTATCCTTGGAAACAACGAAAATGATTGCGTGACTTGTGATTCCAGAATCGGGTTTGGTACTGGAGGAGGCCCCGATAACACTAACACGTGTGGAAACGAAGCTCCAGGCGGAGATAACGGAGAGAAGCACATCAAAGCAATGGGATACATTTTTGTTCAGTAAAATTACAAGGGAGTAGCATTTGTGTATTACGAAAGAGGGTATTCCTAAAGCTTTTTCAAGTGTCGCCTATCGAAGGATATAATTTTGATGTTTTGTTTAGTTAAGTGTTTCTTTGTTGGTTCATGTTTGTAGTTTTGTTGAAAAAAATATTTTGTGGTTGACAGTGGTGAGAAGAAACTGTGCACATCACTCCCATGGGATTTCGCCTGGTGCAGTAGCTTCGCATTCGTTTGCATGCAACTTTGTACAAGAGTTTTGTTTTTTAAAAAAATTAACTTGGCACGAAATTTGTTGGATGATGATGATATAGTATTCTCGTTAGTAAAACGTTTCATAATAACTTTGTGTTTGCGGAGCGTGCATAATAAACACGTTTTTGAGTAATGCGGAATTTCTTGATTAATTTGTCTTATTTTCTCTATAAAGCCACGTTTAGTGTCGCATAGCTGAGATAAATATTGAGCTGACATATTTGCAGATATTTGAAGGCTGACAAAGCAGGGAGTGTTTGGAAACTCGGAATGACATGGTTTCTACCTTTCTTTTTTTCTGCAACTTCTGCATAGATTGATTGGACATTTTTCCCTTACTTTTCGCAATAACATCATGATGTGAAATAATGGTTTCATTGAATTTAACTGATTGTTCACAGATGACACAATAGCCTGTTTCAGGCTCTCAGATTGTGGGCAAGAAGCGAAAGAAAAAGGGACGCGAAAAGTTAGCGGGGCGTTTTATTTTCGTGTCTGCGCTTTCTCAATTCAGCGGACCCGACTATTTCGGAGCCTGGAACAGGCTAGTGACACAAGAGAGCCTTGTTCATGTTCAAGGATCGTGATACGTAAATTTTTATTGTAAAAGGCTCATGCTGAAAGATTCTATTTCAGTCAGTGCATGATAAAGGCGGCTGAACCCGCGGAGTTGGCGGTTTTTTTTGGTGTGTTTTTTTTCTTTTCTGGGGCCCGTTTCTCGAAAAGTTTCGGTAACTTTGCGGGCCAGGAAAGCTGTTTTATGTTTGTCGAGTTGGTATTCAATATCAAAGTTTCAATAATTTTGAAAATGATACAATGAAAGTGTCAGTTAACGAAGCAAAATTGAGTGGTTTGTGAGCTAGGAACTGAGCAACTTTTCAACCGGTTTTGAGTTTAAAATTTGCCTTCGGGCTCGAAAAGTTACCTAGCCTTTCGAGAAACGGGCCCCTGGTTCGTAAAGTAAGAGATTCAGCCGCGCGAAAGCTGAACCGAGGACGAAAAGGAAAACTATATGGGAGGGGGCGATCGACATCGGTAGCTACCATGATGCAGTTGTAAATTAAACAAGGTTAAAATCAAATTTGAAGATTTCTTGATTAGGGGTAGCCTTAAATTGCTAGTTATGGGATATCTTGAAAATACCGCTTTATATTAGACCACCCCCCTTAAAATTCTGAGAAATCTGTGAAGAATCAGGCCTTAATCTTCTTGAGACGGCTATTCTTACTTTCGAACCAGATATAAAATGAAACAACACACTAAAAATGCCGCCAGCTAGGCAGGGCTAGCTAGGAAGAAATAATCTGAGCACTGAGAACTGAGAACAGAAGTCGAATCTGGTCACTTGTTACAGCGTGATGATATTGATGTAGAACTATTTTATGAACTCTATAGGAAATTTCATTGCACATAGTATAACCCTGGTGTCAGGCCACAGTGGGTGTTGGACGATGGCCGTTACACTCTTCACCTCGGTGGAAATCAGTAGCTTCTGTTCTTCCAATAGAGAGCTTGATTAAGCAACAACGACGACGAAGTGTACAAAAACATCACTTAAAAAGTGAATTTGCGCTGCCTCAAACTTTATCGCGCTTATTCCATCTCAACTAATTCGTCAAATGTTTGCAAACTTTTTTCAAGTTGAATTTTAAAGGACTGTATCGAAGTTTAGGAAAAGAAAAGGAAAGTCGTTGTCTTGTGTTCCCGTCGCTCGACAAATCGTGAAATTAGGCATTTTCACTTCGTAGTCGCGCAGTGACTGCAAAGAAATGTACAAAAAAGCGTGATGCACGTAAAAAGTTAATGTTTTGTCAATCTAAACCTATTGTTTTTTTGCCGTTCTCGATGACGTCGCCGTCGTCGTTGCTCAAGCTCCCCATGTTTCCTCTCAAACACAGGAAGCTTTAGTCTTGTATTCTGAACTCAGTGGGACTGTAAATTCGTAGTTGCAAGTTCTGCAAAGGATTTCTCCGTGATAATAGCTTGATCATTTCAGAAAATACCTAACAAAAGTATGTCCACTGCATCAATCATCGACCTTATGCTCTACAATCCAGTAAAGCCTTTATTCGGAATGATTATTGTGGGCTGAGAAGTTTTGAAAGCTTGTGTTTATTTTTTCTTCCTTTGCGCTTTTTACTTTATTTATGAGCTACTGGAAAGACGGTTCTTTGAATTCACTCGTTCTCATTCAATTCACCTGTTTTTTCAAGTTTCATCATTCTGATATCATGCCCAATCCCCCGTTGTAACTAGAAGAACCCGTAAAGATTGTAAAACTCGCTGGTGACGTAAAACAAAGAAGTAAACACAATAAAAACCAAGAAAAAGAAATATAAAACAAAGAATGTTCACAAGTTCTACATCACACCGAGGTATTTAACCAAGGCTCCAGCCTTGACCTGTTGCACTTTACTCATTCCTTTACACTGTCCGCCTCCACAATCCTGGAACATAACGTTACCACTCTGAGTGCAGTTCCCATCATGGGCTCCGGGTTCCCATTCACAACCATCGCAAACCAGTTAGATTGCACTCATGGCCAAGTCTCTGAAAGATGCCATTGAACATGTTGTAATCTAGCAGACGTCATTTCCCCATCTTTTTCGTTTTTCGCAGACGTATTTCCGGTCGTCGCTACTGAGAAGCGACAACCGGAAATACGTCTATATTGGTAGGCTACCTTCTTGCCTCGGGGTCATCTCTCGGGTTCTTAGGGCCTCTCGGCTTATAGAAACCCAAACGTATTCACCGGATTGCTTCTTGTCTACTGAGCATTAGACGTTTTAAAAGTCCTTTATTTTTTTCCCTGGTTGGTTATGCCATTGCTGTACGACCTCATGCATCGAAGCTTGCTTCGCTCACTTTTGTAAAAGTGACTTCCGTTAAAAGGGCAGGAAATTTTGAGTGGAGACTGGATCCTAAATAGTGAGGGATCTTTGTTTGCTTTGCCGGGCCGGGCGCTCGCTGAACTGCTGTGCAGAAAGGGCAGTGAAGTCTGAATTCTCGGACATTTACCTTTATATCTGGTAAGCTATGGGTGAAAAACCGTTAACAGACGCAGAAAGAAAGAGACAAATCTCTCTTCGAAGGCTCCCAGTCGTCGAAGGTGTTAGCAGTCTTAAAGAATCCTTCAATCGGCATCTGCACTTTACGCTTGTGAAGGATCGAAATGTGGCGACCAAACGAGATTATTATACGTCCCTGGCTCACACAGTAAAGGATTACTTAGTCGGAAAGTGGATAAGATCACAGCAGTCATATTATGAGAAGGATCCAAAGGTAATGGCGTACTATTTGTCAGTCTTTTTGTCTACAGATGTAGATGTTATGAGTAGCTTGTTACGTGTGATGTAGATCACGATATTAGCACAGAATTCATGCGTTCGGTCGTTCGTCAATACGTGCCAACTCGTTAAACAAATAGTCTCATATTGAACTACATTTCACACAGTGTGAAATCTTATGGAAGTTCTCATTTAGTCGCCAAACGTATCGAATGAAAGTATTATGCTACACCGTATACCGAAACACAAGGCAAGATGATATTGCAGATTCTGCGCGTACACTCAAAGCTCACTGCAAATATTTTAATTTTATCTCAAGTCGACGGCAATGTTTGTTGAAACACAGCTCATTTCTACTGTTTCTACATGTCACAAAGTTAAAGAATATTTTTCTAAGCACTCATTTACTACTAGCAGTAAAAAGGTCATAAAATGTTAAAACTAATTTTCACGTCCCATCTGGCGGATGCTTTTGAAGGCCCTCCAGTGAATGTGCATTGTAACTCAAAACCGCATTTTCTCTAGTATTGGTCATGTTTTGGTTTTTATTAGTTTATTAACAGAGCGTAGAGCAATTAAATATATAATGGACAGTTTCTTTTTTGTGGTGCAGAGCCATCAGAAACTTTAATTTGCATTACACATTTATGTATTGATCAATTTTCAGATGATTATTATTTGTAGTGTTTTTTGTTGTTGTTCTTGTTTTGTTAGATTTAAGCTCAAAGATGCGAAGATAACATTTTCCTATGTTTAATGTACATGAATACAAGACAAAATAATGTAGGACTGTTAAAAGAAAAAAAAAAACAACTAATTATTTCACCCATCATTACATTAAAGATAAATAAACATACATGTAGTAATAAGCACTATTGTTGGCAACTGTTTCCCAAGGTTTACAAGAACTTTGGGCCTAATACAGAAAACTGACACTGTTTCCTCTATGCTGTTGTAATGTCTATTCCTGTGGTTTCTTGATACCCTAAATCCTCTATTTAGCCCCCCCCCTCTCAGGGAGCTTATTAATTTTATTTCAATCCCATTTGGGGGGGGGG